ATCTAAAGAACTATTTTTGAATGCGTTCGACTTTGCCGCCCACTATACAGATATCACAGATGCAGAAAAGAACATTATTATATATGCGAAAAAATCGGTGCTTATACATAATGGTGAGCAGTGGATTAAGAATTCATATGACCACTTCGACATTACTATGGGATCACTAGACTCAGCTGAGTCTTCTGATCTCATAGGTCTTTTTATATTATACAACCTTACAGCGCACAGTGATATTAATATAACTGACATTGGTTTGTACAGAGACGATGGCCTTATGGTTATTAGAAACTCAACCAACTTCAAAATAGATAGAATTAGAAAGGTTTTATATAAAGAATTTAAAAGCATGGGCTTAAAAATTACGGTTAGCACTAAATTAAAAAAAGTGAACTTCCTAGATATAACATTAGATCTAAATAAAAATACATACACACCTTATAAAAAACCCAACACTAATCCTTTATATATACACCCTAAATCAAATCACCCCCAACTATAATTAAACATATACCGTTATCTATCAGTAAACGAATAAGTACAAATTCAGCAAATGACAAGATTTTCGATGAGCATATTAATTCCTATAATAAGGCTCTAAAAGTGAGTGGCTACAAAAACGCAAAAACTAACTTATATAAAAAAATAAAAAATGAAAATGAAAAGCATAAAAAAAACAGATGTAGAAAAATAATTTGGTATACGCCCCCATACAACCAAATGGTAAAAATTACAAATTAGGACAAAAATTCCTTGCATTAATAGTCAAGCATTTTCCTAGTGAAAGTAAACTAAGTACTATTTTCAATAAAAAACACACTAAAATTGAGTTACAGCTGTACGGAAAACTTAGAAAAAATTATTAAGAACCATAATGCTAATATCTTAAATAAACACTTATACCAAAACCCAAAAAAAAAATTAGACAATGGAAAAATAAAAATAAAAAAAGATGAAAATAAACAAAAATTATGTAATTGTAGAAACCCTCATAATTGCCCTCTACAAAATAAATGTTGCACTGAATCATTAGTATACCAATGCAATATCTCTTCGATTGAAAGTCCTGAAAACATAAAAATATATATATAGGTTGCACTAGCCATGAGTTCAAAAAAAGATTCAACCAACATCAAACTTCATTTAGAATAAATAAATATAAAAATCAGACATCCCTATCAAAATATTTCTGGCACCTAAAAGAATCAAATAAAACACCTACAGTAAAATGGAAGTTAATAAGAAAAAAGCTAGAATATGTAGGTCATTAAATGACCCATGTCCTTTGTGCATACATGAGAAACTATATATTACTAAGTTTATAAAAAAAAAAAAATTTACTGAATCAGAGAAATGAAATAGCTATTTTATGCCGTCATTGTCAAAAATTTTCCTTAAATAATATTTAAAAATAAAAATAAATTTATAAAATAGGATCATCAGGTAATATACATACTTATATTTAACATGAAATATTAATTAATAGTCAAGAAAACATTTTCCTAGTGAAAGTAAACTAAGTACTATGGAAAAAAAATTACTTAAAAAATACTTAAAAAAATATTTATAAATATAAAATTTAAAAAAAAATTTTAATATTAATATAAATAAATTAATAGAAAAAGAAATTTTAAAAAAAAATTTTAAAAAAAATTCTAAAATTTAAACAACTCTAATATATTTTACTTCTATTAAATGAAATATAGTCTAAAAAAAAAAAAAAAAAATGAAAAATTTTTTTTAAGTTTTAATTAAAATTGTAGTTAATTAAAATGAATTCTAAATAAACTTCTTTTAAATTGTAATTAAATAAATAAACAAAGTTTACTAAATCAGAGAAATGAATTAGCTATTTTTTGCCGTAATGAAAAAAAATTAAAAAAATTTTTTAAAAATATTTAAATATAAAATTTTTAAAAATCGTAATATAAATATATATACTTGATATTGAAAAATAATTTACTTACTGTAAAAATTCTAATACATTTACTTTTATTAAATGAAATATAGTCTAAAAAAACTAATAATGAAAATATTTTAAAGGTGTAATTAAAATTGTAGTTAATTAAAATGAATTCTAACCTAAACTTCTTTTAAATTGTAATTAAATAAATAAATAAAAATTACTAAATTAGAGAAATGAATTAGCTATTTTTGCCGTAAAGATAAAAAAAAAAAAAATTACTTAAAAAATATTTAAATATAAAAAATTTTTAAAAATCGTAATATAAATATATTTGATATAGAAAATAATTTTACTGACTGTAATAAACTAACATTTTACTTCTATTAAATGAAATATAGTCTATAAAAACTAATAATGAAAATATTTTAAAGTTGTAATTAAAACTGTAGTTAATTAAAATGAATTCTAACCTAAACTTCTTTTAATTTGTAAATTAAATAAATAAATAAATAAATAAATGAAAATTTTACTTTAGTAATATTTAAATATAAAATTTTTAAAATCGAATATACTTTAAATTTTAAAAAAAATGTAAAAATTTTTAAAATAAAATTAACGAAAAAATCGTAATATCATTGAAAAATGCAAATATATATTAAAAAAAAAAAAAATAAAAAATTATAGACATATTGAAAACCCAGCCATTTCCGTAAAACCCCCAAAATTTAAAAATGCCGTTAAAAATAAAATTTTTAAAAAAATTCGTAAATATTTTTTGAAAAATGATTACGAAAAAATTGTTAATTTAACGGATGTTAGATTTCATTGAAAATAAAAATATCCCTACCCACTACCAAAACGTAGCAATAACTGATACATTAAATTATAGACATATTGAAAACCCAGCCACCCCTGTCTAGAAAAATAGATTTATCTGTAACCTTGGAAACATGAATTTTGTTTTAGCTGTGTGTTTAAAACCCAGTAATTTTAAAAAGTTACTCCAAAATTCGCTTGAGGATGAAATGGAACTAATGTCTTTAATTTAATCACAAAATTAAATTCGTGGCTTTTAGCTTCCATTTTTGAAACATGGTTAAAAACTGTGTAACAAAATTTACATTATTGTGAAGAGCCATGCTTATCCACTTCCAGAAGGAACATGATAAATAAAAAAAAATAAAAAATAACAATTAGAATTTTAATCTCGTATCCTTTACCGTCTAGAAATCTGTCTGCGCAAGTACCTTACGATAAGGACGTGAAGATGTTACGATATTTTTTCCCCAATAGGCGCTCAAGGCAAGAAACCTCCTTTAGAGAATAAACATTCATCACGACAGGCGAAAATTCAATATCCGCTCGGTGATGATAGAGCGTTACTAGTTTAGTTTTAGAGGTTATGGTTGTTACAGGCCAGTTTCCTCATCTGAAACATTGAAGCTGGGTCGGAGAAGAGATCGGTTGCTAGTCTGGCCCTCTAGATTTTTGGTGGTAAACCCATACACTGCTGCATCATCTACATAGATATTTACTAGAGATTTGAATATATTCTTAGGCAGAACATTAATAAATGCAGAAATAGGACAAGACCGAGAAATGGAGCAAAAAGTGAACGGCTTAAATGTTCACATGTGCTTTAGAATATAGGCCATTAACATCTACCTTAATGTTAGGAAGGACTTGGCAATTGAGAAGATTCTTCCAGAGATTCCATATCTGGAGATTTTGCATATCAATCTCTATTTCACGGCTTGTGAAAACTCTCTTTTTTAAATCTAAGGAAATCTCTCTCATAAATTTATTGTTTAATGCACCACTGACTGTGTGTATTGAGTGTTAGAACATCAGTATGGGGCCTAGAATAGCGAAATCCATATTGTTTGTCGCTCATGAGGTTGTCCTTTTCATTCTTTTTTTAAATTTCTTTTTCCTTTCTTTCTATTTTAAACTGGTTTCTCGCTTTTCTATTTTTGAGTTGAGATTATTTAAAGATTACTTTTATTTTCATTTTGTCTTCGTCCCAGGTATATTTTGAGACACAACCAAGGACAAACAAAAACGCACGTAAACCTGTCGACCCTGTAAAACGATGATGTTAAACATACACGACTTTACTAGTGTGCTTTACTCTTACCATATCCACCTTGTTAAGCTCGTATTTTTTAACTTATGTTCACTCAATACAAACCCCAAGTGCTTGTAAATTTAAAGTGCTACTGAATGAGGTTGTTAAAAGTGGATAACAGTTGACCCTCAACTTGAAGCGTTTAAAATTGTAGTGATCGGTGAAGCATTCTCTCGTGAGTTTGTTCCACACAGTAAAGGTTCTTGGGAATATGCTGCTCGAATGGAACCTCTTTCTTGCCAATGGAGTACAAAGCGAGCGAGGACGATTCGACCATGTTTATGTGGCTTTATGGGTCTTAGATATAAAGGTCTGAACTGGTGGAACTAAGGAATGTAGTTCGTCAGAACCTTTGCCATAGAAATAGCGATAGAGTGGAAAGACGCTTGAGAATTTTCCTCTACGTGAAAGAGGTTGTAGTGTGAAAAGTGCTTAATCGTCCACGATGTCAAGTTGAGGATTTTGAATTCTGTCAAGGCTGGAAAGTGAACATTGAGCAGCTCCATCTTATAGATATTCTATCTAGTAATTATGAGGGTAAATGATGTGGGGTGATTTTCAGTAAACTATACGTTTATTCAAATCAACTTAAGTGACTCATTTTTACTGTTTTCCAGACAAAGCTACAATTAATAAAATATTAGCATTTATGGGTATGTGTCAAATTAGAGTGAAGTTATTAATTATAAAGACGCCTGCTGTAGGATGGTTGTTGCCGGTCATTTGTAGTAGGTTATGTCCTCACGTTACTTCAGGATAATTCAATGTTTGCAATTATCAGGCCGCGGTTCGGAAATTACTAATTATTATACTAATCTCGCAGACTATTCGAATAATAAATCTGAATCTAACTCAGTCTTTACTATTGTGACCTTGTACCAGACTAGACTATATTTCATAAATATCAACATATATTTCAACGTCCATATTGAAATTTTCAGATACATTCTATCCTTTTGTGGGTAGTTATACATCTAAAGAGACAAAGAGAAAGAGTGAAAGAGAGAGAAGAGGAAGGGTGAAAGATAGAGAAAAAGTGAAAGAAAGTGAAAGACTGAAAGCGAGAGAAAGAGAAAGAAAGAGTGGAAGAGAGAAAGAGTGAAAGAAAAAGAAAGAGAAAGAAAGAAAAAGAGTGAAAAAGAGAGAAAGAGTGAAAGAAAGAAAGACAGAAAAGAGTGAAAGAAAGAAAGACAGAGAAAGAGTGAAAGAGAGAGAGAGAAAAAGTGAAAGAGAGAGAAAGAGAGAGAGACTGAAAGCGAGAGAAAGAGAAAGAAAGTGGAAGAGAGAGAAAGTGTGAAGGAAAGAGAAAGAGAGAGAAAGAATGGAAGAGAGAGAAAAAGTGAGAGAAAGTGAAAGAGTGAAAGAGAGAGAGTTAAAGAGAGAGAAATAGTGAAAGAAAGAGAGTGAAAGAAAATGACTGAAAGGAACATTTAGAGTGAGAGATAGAAAGAAACATCGATAGGGAAAGAATGAGAGAACTAAAAATAAATATTGAAAGAGAGAGAGAGTGAGAGAGAGAGAGAGAGAGAGAAAAGGCATGTATGAAATTTCTTTCATTAAGCAGTGAGTAGGCAATTATTTCTGAAACAAATATGCATATATTTACGTGGCGCACTTGCTATGTCTAAATCAATGACCATTATTCTGGTAAATACATTTTATAAAAACAAAAAGATGGTAGTGATAATTGATTACATATTGCACTTGATGTGCTTTTGATATCTGTCTACAGAAGAAATTCATTTTAATATGGAGATTCCACCAGTCGTAAATAATGTTAAGGTTTCCTCTAAGCTAAAGTTTGACTGCGAGCATCTGGAACATTCAACAAAAAGTTTTCTTTTTCCGATATCCGAAAGTACAGCGGTCATCTAAAACTTTTATAAGTCGAAATGGCGGTAAGCGGATAATCATTTATTATTAATTTACAGGGAAATATTTCTTGAGCGTTTCGAAAGATAAAAAATAACTTTGCTTGAGATTTTTTCCAATGGACACTGTTGCAAAGATTGCATACATGTATGTCTTTAACTTTGACAAAGCTCGGAAGATGTGAGTGCCCACAAAGAACTGTGTAACAGAAAAATGTGCACGTCTAAGCAATCAAACATATGATTGTGTTTTAACCCTTCCACCTCAGCCACACCTTTCATATCAAGTTAGAAGATGTTTTCTTTTTGAGTTATGGAAACGCTCAAAAAATCCCCGTGCAAGTTACAGTAGACGTTGAGAAGTTTTCGAAGCGATAAAGAAGAGATTCAACAAATAAAGAAAGAAAGAAAGAAAGAAGAAAGAAAGAAAGAAACATTCTTATGGTTGGTCCTTTGATTTTGAGAAGAGTGTAGTGTCTAGAACTTTTCAGCTTCCCTTCATTTAGTTTCATCGTTTTAAGCCATAATCGAGTAGTGGAGAAAGTCAACTGATATAGGTTTTTTATAAAAGCGAAGTGGCGTAAAAAAAGCATTCTTAAAGTGAGGACTCCTGCATACATATCATCCACTTTCTGCCCTTGTGGCTAAGAACCACTTCTAAAATTAAAACAAGTTGATTGATAGGCATTCGTATTTCCTCATTTTTGAAGATTTTGTAATTTTCTCTTTCATTTGTATCATTTCTTTCTTTAAAACTGACATTTTTTTGTTTTTCTTTGTTTCTTTAAAAATGACATTTTTTGTTTTCTTTCTTTCTTTCTTTCAGAATGACATTTTTCTTTCTGTCTTTTTTCTTTCATTCTTTCTTCTTTCGTCCTGGGTATGACGATTACATCCGGCAGTAACGCCTCTGTTCAGGGGATTTGAGGTTTTGAGGAGCATGAGATAACCTCTAAATTGCTGTGGTTCTTAGGTCCACCATGACCCGGGGTAGTAGTACCTGTTAGGGTCCGAGCTATGGGCAAACAAAAATCAAAACACTATGAATGTATAAAAATCCATTTTTATAGTAAACAACCACCAATACATTTTTATAAAAAAAATCCATTACGTTTTTTTAGTGAAATTATCAGCAATACATTTTTATAGAAATAATGACCAACAATACACTTTATGATAAAGTTACCAAGAATACGTTTTATAGCAAAATTGAAGACATGGCATACATTGCTGAAAAATAATAAAAAACTAAAAAAAAAACAAAAAACTATTTGTTATGATTAATCTCATTTCTTGTAAGGAGAAAGGAACTTTCATTTCTCGTTTGATTGTGTAAGAGTATTTGATAAAACATTTAGCTCAGTAATTATAATCTAATGAAGAAATAACGCCATTCTTTTGAATTAATTATAAAGTTTGGATTTTAATATTTGGATTTCGGTTTTAAATAACCCATATTTATGCCTCTAAACAAAAATCAATTCTTTATTTTTTTTCTTTCTTTCATTGATCTTCAAAATTTAAATGCACTCTTATTCGTCATCTGACTTCTTAATTATTGTTCTGTTATTGCTCTCTCCCTTTACTAATGTACGTATCTATTCTTCCACACTCAGTACACACTTGCATCTTAGTGGTGTGATTGCCTTGCTTGGGGTGAAATGATTAAACAAAAATATCTATTTTTTAAAGATTTTCGGTGATTATTTTGTTTAAAAATAACGTAACATGTTCCTATCCTTATCGTAAGGTACCTAGCGCAGTCAAATTTCTAGACGGTAAGGGATACGAAATGGAATAACACCGGTGATTTAATTTTTATTTTTGACCCACCTTTCAAATTGTTATTTTTATTCTTCTTTATTTATCATGTTCCTTCTGGAAGTGGATAATCATGGCTCTTTACAACTTCCTGTACCTTGTAAATCTAAGCAACATTTGATTCCCTATCATTACGTTTTGTCCCCGATCTGCCATCCATTCACCTAACCACATTAAGTAGGTTCCCTACCTTTTGCTCTTGTTTCTCTTGCCTTCGGTATGATTTGTTAGTGCTCCCTTTTCAATCCTACTTTCCCCCGTAATGTGTCCAAGGAATTTCAACTGCCTGCTTTTGATTTAAAGTATGTAAGTGTTCATTTCCTTTACAGCTAACTCGTTGCTTCCACGTTCATTCAATGGTATTGTTAGAATCCGTATGTAGACACCCATCACTTTCATTTTCAGACTCTTCTTCATCCGTGAAGAAATCTTCCAGCATTTCCTGTCATATAGGAGGATAGTGATGATATAGCATTTTTTAGCTTGTTTATAAGCAAATTTTCCGTTTTCTTAACACTTTGCTAATTTCATAAAGACTTACGCTAGTTAGTCCGATGCACATGGCTTTTCTTGTTAACAATCGTAAACATAGATAAAACGTATAAAAATGCCTACTAGATGCACACACGGATACACATGCACACACACACACACACACACACACACACACACACACATACACACAAATGAATATACGTTATAATCCAATATAGACAAACTAGAATTGATACAAACATGAATTATGCACATTGACGCTGCTTGACATGACTGATGCACATTTAATTTAAAATATTATATATATATGTCTAACATCTTTTGCTTTTATTAATGCTTCGTTCTTATATATATATATATATGCGTGTGTGTGCGTGTGTGTGCGTGTGTGTGTGTGTGTGTAATATCACTTGATGATTAGTAGATCCCCCTTTTTCTTTTTTATATTAAAATTTTTTCCTTGCTCTCTTTTCTCTCTTCCCTTTTTTCTTTTTCTTGTGCCTGAATAAATTGAACACCATCTATTTTTGTAAAATGGTCTGAAGAGATGGACACCTGAAGTCCACGAAATAAATTATCACCTGACCAAATAGATTTTTAAGTATTCTGTATTCATTATATATATATATATATATATATATATATATATATAAAGCCATGTCTCATTGAATAATTTAGACAAGTTTCGTCTACTTATTTCCAATAGGATCCTCACATATTCAAGGAAAAGATTTTTAGTAAGTGAGAAATTTTCCGCGTTGGTACATATTCATTTATTTCCAATACTTTCAACATCAGTGTGTTGTTTTTTGTTATGTTCATCTTAATTCTTTTAACTGTGATGTGAAAAACGCTAAAGTTATGTACTGCACGATTTAAATTTCATGATGTAAATATCAGGGGAGGTAACTAGATTTGGAATGTCCATATGTTAAAAAACAATAAAACTATTAGTTAAAATCTAGATATTTAAAACTATCTGCTGTAAACATTTTAAAACATTTGTGCACTATTCATAATTAATTTTATTAGGTGTTGATTTCAATTTTCAAATATAATAGAATTTTTAATTTATGTTTATTATTTTCATGAACAAGTATAAATGTATTTTCAACAAGAATTTTTGTTAATTGCGAATATGGACTGTCATATAGCTGTAAATATTGTGATATGTTTGATGCATCATTCATATGAAAACTAAACATTCGAGACAACGTAGTAGTAAAATGACCAACATATGTATTATATTTTTTCTGTTGGGGATACAATATCCCAACGGCCATTTAAATTTATATACAATATTGATTTCTTGCAACACATTTGGTGGTGGGGAGGAGTCATTACGAATGATTAAAATATATATAAAAAATTTTATATATATATATATATATATAAAATTATATATATATTATTCAACTTTTTCTTTTACGCTCCTTATTTCATGCTCTGATGAAGCTTTAATAAAAGTGAAACATCTTAGACTTATATACGTATCCTATTTTTGCCTTATTCCTTTCACACACACATACAAACGATATATATATATATATATATATATATATATATATGTGTGTGTGTGGATGGATGGATGTATAAGGAAGCCAGAATTCATCGAAACAAATTTTATTAAATAACAGTGAGAAACTTTTTATATTGCCTTTCCAACTTCCCACTGAGGTATTTTAAATCCGGATTAAAATTTTGAATAATCTGTCCAAAGCCCTTTTTTTGTTACATTCGAGTACTTTCGGCACTCACGATCATTGCCAAGAATTTTGAATGATCAGTATATTAAGCAAGAGGTACTTGACTAAATTCCGACATTTGTCTATTCATCATCATCATCAAAACATTGTATAATGATTCGAGAATATTCTGACAGCCTTCTCTGTCCTCTGCAAGTTTGTGGATTTGTTGAAGATCTTCCCTGATTGTGAACTTCTATTGCTGAATTTAAATCAGTTAAAGATGACGCCATCTTCAACGGTCAAATAGGAATGAATCTATCGAACATTTATACGTTTTGCTTTTTTATACAAATTTCAATATACGATCTCCTATGGATAAACATACTTTATTTAATTTTGGTTGATTCTTTTGGATTATAGTGGCTTCTAGAATTTGGAGTCTTTCCTTGCACTGAGTCCTATATAATATTTTAGTTTTATCTATTAAGATTTGTCTTATGTCAATAATATTTTGTTGGTTGTGATGTGTTGATTTGCATGTGTACGAAACTTTGACAAATGATTGGTTAAAGTCCGAGAGAGTGTCGTACATTTGTGGTCAATATTTTTACATAGGTTGGATTTTTAAGGTGCTGAATTATTGCTAAGAATTAGACGTTTTGAA